CACGGCTGGACTGTAGAGGAGCGGCACGCGCGCACTCTTTTGAATTGAGGAGGAAACCCACGCACGTTATTCATAAATAAAAAGATAGTTCTTTCTGATGAAATAACCTACAAAAACGAGTATCGGTGATTTATTCTCCAATAAAAATCATCACAGCATATCCACAGAATGAACGGAATGAATAAGGACCAGTAAGGCAAAGCGTCCGTCCATCTCTCGATGCTTTCGTCAGTCCATCCGTACGTGCACCCGTTCGTGCGTACGTCCATGCGTCTGTCTATGCATGCGTACGTGCGTTCGCATTCGTCTGTCCGTCCGGGTGTCTGTCTGTCTGTCTGTCTGTCTGTCTGTCTGTCTGTCTGTCTGTCTGTCTGTCTGTCTGTCTGTCTGTCTGTCTGTCTGTCCGTCTGCTTGTCTGTCTGTCCGTTCATGCGTCCGTCCGTCCATATAATGAACAATTCAAGTAGAGCAATCCTGCTTCTTTTTCTCGTGTATTCATGATATACAAGTACCGCCATCCAGCAGACAATCCAAGGACTAAACGAAGGTATGTACCACATTTATTCTGTCAGCCCTTCGTTAACACCGAGAGCGTGATAACAACGCTGCGCTACGTTTTTCGTAACATGTCGACATGCGGATATTTGTCCGAGGGCAAGTACGTGCCACTGGTATGCGGGTATGTGCTGTGGGTTACGCACTACGACAAAGGAACGCACAAGCCACGCCATAAGTAGCTTCGCCCCTGATACGCCTTGAAGTTGATGCTTACTAAAAAAAAAACTAGTAACAGAAGGACGCACTTTGAGCACTATGTGACCAGGAAAGGTTGCCGCTTTAAACTCGCTGGGCGTAACCTCCTTTGTTTTAGCAAGGTTTAACGAGGGTTAAGCCGCAGTGCCATGAACTAGCGGCCCTGAAAGCTGGGAACTAGACACGACGCGCAGGCCGTAAGAAAGTGCGCGCGTGCCGCTCCTCTAGTCCGGCCGTGCCTCCTCTCGTTTAGTCCTTGGAATGTCTTCTGTATGGTGGTGTTTCTATATTACGAATATATATGATGAAAAGATGCGAGATGGCGGTACTTGGATTGTTCACTAGACGGGCAGACACATGGACAGACAGGCAGACAGATGCATGGACGGACGGACGAACAGACTTACGTACGAATGAACGGACAGACGCATGGATGGATGCACAGACAACGGACGGACGCATGGATGAACGCACAGACGGATGGACGGACGGATGGACAGACGCACCAGCGGGTGGACGGAAGCGTGGACGGACTGATGAATGCTTCGCCACACTCATCATGCACTCTGTGTATATGCTGTGATTTTTTTTCCATTACACGTTGGGTCTTGTAATATTTGTGCTCAACACTGAGCCATTTTTGTGTGCTCTAGACGCTCATTCGCGCATATGAGGTCTTTCGCTTCCTGGAAGCAGTGAAAGTAACAGCCCATGTGAAAGTAACAGCTTTCGCCGATGAGATAAAGCTGCACCTTTCAGACGAAGATAGTCTTTCACATAGCCTGCATTTATACGTTCAGTATGATCACATTTCAGGTGCAGCGTTGAACTCCTCCACATCCAAGTATTTGTTCATTGGCTCTCCAAACTTTTGACTTAGCGCCGCTTTTTCTATTCATACAGCTGCTTCCGTTCGTATTTAGGGTATTCTATACAACCACTACGATATTTGTGATTACGTTTGATTAAACGCTCTCGAAAAAGTAAGACGAAAAATCAAGACGCACGGGATTTGACTTTCCACGTCTTACGTGCATATAGCTTGTGTAGGCTGTATTTTGATTTCGCTCTTGGTATCTCTGTCACGTGGCGCAACCACATTTGCGTATCGTACGATCACTGCAGTCGGCGTTGTGTTCCTCTTTTTGGTCTGGTGGCACTGCGTTAATCTCTCATGCGGCATTAGGATAGCAGCGTCGCCAGGGATGATTTGCTTTCAATTAGGTATCCATACGTTGCCGGCTTCTGACCGTATACGCTTTCTGTGCGCCTTGTACAGAGGGAGAAATCCCCCGCACGATCTCTCGCATATTATTTTCTAGACACTCATCTACAACATTTATTGCCTCATATATACTTTACCAGGAGCCCATAATCAGTAAGACCTTCTGTATTTTATGCAACAGCTGTGGCATGTTATCGCCATGTCCAGTCGACCTGTCCTAAGTAAGATGTGTTGAACAATCCGACTGTTGACACAAAAGACGCTTTGTTGGTTGCTACCGTTAGCTCCTCCGGCCCACCGCACTCGCTCCAGTCGTGTCTCTTCGAACGCGCTGGCGGCATCTTTTCTATACCTGGTCACCCCCGGGACTTAATGTTGCGGCTAGGGTGGCGTGTGCTTCCTACACTTGACCATCTCGCAAGGCAGAGAATAGCCCAGTCGGCCACATGCCCGAACTACTCCCTACGGGAAACAAATAAGCATGTTATGAGGCAATGTGTAATCACTCGTGTTTTCTGGAGGGCCGTGATGCTGTATTTCACCGTCTCGGAGTAACCGCTTTGTTTCATCTGGGTGTCGTTCCCTTCCGCTGTCCTCTCATTGTTGCTGGTGCTTATTTGCCTTTGGCACAATCGTCACTAAGTGGTTGCAGCGGACTGTCGTCGTCACATTCTCTTCCCGATATTGGAGTGACTGTACACTGATCTTTTATCTGTTCCTTTTCGGTGAGGAGGAATTCTTTCGGCTTCTGTGTTGGTTTCTGACACACGCTTAAAACATGTCTTTCGGCCTGCCTGGTCTCGGTAGGCTGATCTCTTTTCAGTGCCAATAGAAATGTCATTTAAACACGTAAAAAGTGCGCACTCACATTTTATTTGTGACTTTTGTTTGTTATGTATGTACATATGTATCGAAATCTTTTTGTAAGAATTTTGTATGTCTGTGCGTGTTCTGCTGTGTTGAAATATCTCTCATAATCATATGGTAGTTTTGGGACGTCAAACCCCACATATCAAAACCAGTTGAAGTGTACTGTACGAAAGTACTTGATGTCCACTGTATGCGTATATTTTTCTTAGGCAAGTATCCCAAGAATCCGTTGTCTTTACAAAGCGCTAGCGTTTTCAAACTATCGTCTTGGAAACCAGCACAGCGCATTCGCGGGAACAATCATCTCCAATGAATGCGCGCAAACAGAGCTAATCGCGGAGGCCACAACTTGTGGTTTCAAAAGGATCAAAATGTGGGCCAGTTGGTAATTCATTTTCTTCGTTCAGCGAACTGGGAGCGCAGAGAAAAACACAAAGGACGAAGCGAGGAACCACACAACACGAGCGCTCACCACGATGCTACTCTTGCCCGACATGTTGAGACAGCAATCCACGATGCCAAAATGGCAGGGTCTTGAAAAGAGGGACTAAAACATTTAAAAGAGCCCTGTGTACTAGAAATACATTGCAAAAGGATCAAAATGTGGGCCAGTTGGTAATTCATTTTCTTCGTTCAGCGAACTGGGAGCGCAGAGAAAAACACAAAGGACGAAGCGAGGAACCACACAACACGAGCGCTCGTGTTGTGTGGTTCCTCGCTTCGTCCTTTGTGTTTTTCTCTGCGCTCCCAGTTCGCTGAACGAAGAACTTGTGGTTTGTTTTTCGTGCTGCCACCGCTAGGGACGCTATATCTATGCAAGTTCACTGCGCGTTAGCAACGAAAGCACCGATGGCGGCTAGCATTGTGTGTTTGAGTTTTTGTGCATATATTGATGCAGGTATTGTTGCTACTAAGGCGCTACAATCTGGCAGCCGCTTTGCAAGAACCAAGGCATACATCTTCGAAACAAATTATCACCATATCTCACCATGTTTCAATACCTGCCATTTTGTTTGAATAGAGCAGCGGCCACATTAGCTATCGAAAGCAAGTAGCAACATACATGGCTCTTTAGCTCGAGCAGATTTCGTGAAAATACGAAGTCTGATTCCGCGTTTATAATGCCACTTAGTCCCCTGCACTGATGTTTGCTCGATACTTCTGCTTTCGTTGTACAACTGGTGTGCTTGTGCAACGCGATTCGGGTGTTGCAAGATGCTGTTGCGTACGTAGGAACAGCACGTATGTACTAAAGACTGTTTTAAGTATTTCCATGAGCTGCACAGACATAAATCGTTTCAAGCCTTCCTTCCACGAGGCAACCTGTGTAATCACCGTGTTATGAAACAACCGTGGAACACGAAGTAGATTTCAGAAACTGCTTCCAGATATCACTAGCATCGCTGATCGACATTGATCTTTCTCGAATTTCTGGCTCCAAATGCCTTTGAAAAATGACCCATAAACCAGTCACTCTTCACCAGTCGCCAGTCACCAGTCGCCAGTCGTGAATGGCCACGCGAACACTGTTGGTCACCGGTGTGCACCGGCCTTAAGCTGACATCTGACTCCAGAACTTCTCTCTTAAATACAACCTTCGTTGAATTCAGATCAGCCTGGACCCTTGCGAGACTGCATTTATTGAGCTCAGCCAGCTGGCTGAAATAAATTTGAGACCACTGTAATACAGGAAACACCAAGCTAACGTGATCCACTGCCGATTTCTTTTCTTGAGTCAGTTTACTTAGCCGCTTTCATGCATCTGTCTTGTGCTTTTGTTGCAGATTAAGCCACTTCTTCATAAAAAATGGCAGGCGAATATATTAAGGAAATAGCTGCGAAACTACATTAGCCCGGCAGATCTTGTGCCAAGTAACGTTAGATACATTTTTTCCTTCATACAAATTGGGTATTGTTCACTCCCAAAGCTACTGTAGTGTCAATTATTGTTTGTAGAATGCCTCTTCCTTGAAAATGAGAGAGAGTGCACTCGCCAGGTAGCTACAGCACCAATTACCACGAACGCAATACCTTGTTCTTATAAATAAAAGGCCCAGAAAACAAGAACGCCAGTCGTGGATCGCCTGTATCCTTAATCATAGTTTTACATTTGCAGCTCGTACAGGCAAAAGAAATTATGAAAGTCACTTACCTACGATATAAGGTTCGCAGAATACCAGAGGAAGCAACGCCACACCCATGAGTCCCCAGGAAACAGCGACGCTGTGCACACCGAGGTAGTCCGCCACGAGGACAGACTTGAAGGCGTTCAAGTAGCCCTGCTGTGCACCAATCACAAAGGTAACCACCGCCACTGCCGCGAAGCTTGTGACGTGCGGAAATACCCAGAAAGATAGCGACAACAGTGCCAAACTAATGGCGGTGATGGGGCAGCGACTATGCGCCAGCTTGTCAGTAATCAAGGGAATCACGAGGCGTCCCACGAAGCCTCCCAAGCACTGACACACCACAAGTTGAGCGGCGGCGTTGAGCGTAATGCCTTTGTCAACCGCATAGTCTACAATAGTGGAACCGAAAAGCGGAAGAGTAAAGTCTGCTGCCACCATGGCCACCAATAGAACATAGAAACATGGCGATCGAAGAACCTTCATGGCTTGAGCGAGAAAGTCCAGCGGTGCAGTAGGCGATTCCATCGAATTCGCAGAGCACACTGGGGTATTTTTCACAGTGTCAATGGTAATGCTGGGACCGGCAGAGAGTGAATTTTGTCCCACTGGCCCATCACAAGTTGGCAACACTGTATCACATGGAAACACTAGATTTTTTAAAGTGTAACTATTTCCACTGAATTCTTGAACGTCAGTTGTCGTCCCGTACAAGGTTGTGGTTGCCCCCTTCAATGCCTTGTCTGACGCGTCGTGGCGTTTGCAAAATTGCCACCTCACGGGTTTCGCGTAGCGCAGCATAAAGGCGAGAGGAATGAGATGCAGTGTCAAGCCTCCCGTAATAAGAAAGCAGCCTTTCAGACCGTGTTCTGACGCCAGGTGCGACAGGAGTGAAGGACCGATGATTCCCGACAATGAAACACCTAGGAACTTGATGCCCATGGCAAAGCCTCTGTACTCGTAGAAGTAAGAAACGACGTACACCGCCGTCCCTATGACTAGTGCGCCGTACGATGCACCTGAAAAGGTGTAAAGAAGGAAAGTGTTACCTGCCACACATTTCAATGGAAAGTTCATTGTTTGTAATAATAAGAACCTCGGCTAGATATACTGTCTCCTTACACTCACAGAGTACAATTTCTTTTGCTTTTAGTTCCTCTTTTGCGCACTCTAGATCGAAGACCTTTGCAGAAGTTTACGTATGCTTTCAGGCCAATACCACGTTTCACCTCATCAAACTTAGTTGCTTTCCGCATGTCTATTTTCTTGAAAACGCATTTATATGCTATTTATTGTTTGTTTCACGCGTGAGCAAGTTTACCATCTCAACAAAAAAGTTCCATCTACAAACGCAGGCCTCTAACAGCGGCTGTTAAAATATACAAGGTATTGTAAGCCAGGTTTTGTGTGTCTGCCCCAATGCTTGTGTATGACGACAAGCATTCTCTACTTGTACTTTCGAGCTTGCCACTGGGACTTATCCTGGAATACAAGTGTTTGCTTGTAAAGCCACCATTTCGTAATATTTCTGAGCAGGACAGGCAGAGGTGACCATATTGTGGTTTCCTCAAGAAGCCAGAACTGAACCTCAGAGCAGCCAAAGTAGCCAAGCCACTTTCACTTATCGCCAAGTTTTCAAAGAAAATGGTAGAAAAGCGCTATTTATAAAATAGTTTTAGTTATAAATGAGTAATCTCGTTTTGAATCAGGATTGAGATAAAAGTAAGAACTCACAATTCTAGCTTTTTTTCGTCTTCAAGACGTATAAAGGTTGCATATAAATGAACGAATTGCAAGTTTGGCAAGCGTTGTACCCCAAAAAACTTCTGGTCACATCATTTACCAGCTCTTAACGTTCAAACTAAAAGCAATTTTTTGAGTTCTTTTCAAAGGTAAGGAAAGCCCATCTTTCATTTTTCCTATAAAAAAGGTGCGTAAAGTACAGGAGTATGTTTTATAATTTTTATGTAGCTCAAAAGAACATTTATTTGAATATATTTTGCCAAATAAGTGAAGGAAGCTGTAGAAAATCAGCAGGGCTATTTTCTAGAGCTCTTGTTGTCCCCCGATGCTATTAAAGCACACAGGAGGACAAAACCGAATGTCTTAAAGGGTCCGTGTTTTTAAACATTAAAAAGGTTTATTGCGTATGCAGAATAGGGTGACTGCTAGAGACGGATGAGGAAATTAGTACCGTTATGCCAACCGGTAAATAGCAGCTATAATCGTACAAGCAGGAGGACAAGAACAACAAAAGAGAAGGCAGGGAGGTTAACCAGGCACATGCAAGTCATGATTAAAGTCACAGGCCAATAATCATCAGTAGGTACCATAATGCCAGCCCATCTTCATGTAATGATATCTAGTTATAGACAGCTAGTCGAGCTTTATTTTGTCACTCATCTCCTTTTTGTGAAGTTCACGAGAGAAGGCATGCAGTGCCTCAGCATTATAAACTGGACTAGAGGCGAAAGTTGGGCTAGCCGATGGTTTATACTTTAATGCATTAAACAGCACAAATATGCAGACACAGAGAGAGGAAGAGACAACAAGGTGCTGAACACCCAACTAAATTTTATAAGAAGGAACATACACATATATCTGGTAGAAGACCTTCTCGCGTGGCACATCATGGGGACTGCGTGACAGAGCAAACAGGGTACAAAGAAGCTTCTGCTTACAAAAAAAAATCGACACATGCGTAAGTACCCAAGAGCTAGAAAGGCGAAAAAGAAATATTGAGCACCCCTACTTGCAAAAGTATGCGTGACAGTCGAAAAATATCTTGTTTTCCCTGCCACGCAGTCGCCATGGTGTGCCATGTGACTGGATCTTCTGCTTGATATATGTGTACGTTCCTTTTATAAAACTTAGTTGCGAGTACAGCGCCTTGTCGTCTCTTCCTCCATCTGTGAGTCTTCTAATACTCACTGTAGATGGCTAAATAGACAGCTAAATGGACGGCGCCCATCTGAAGTCTAATTCCAACTCTCACGTAGCCGGCAAAATAGACAGCTCCGAGAAGACCACATTGTAGACAAATACGATGCAGGTTACTTTGCTCTCTAAACAAGATGGCGGCTCAGCGAATCGCTGAGATAGATTGGATCTCGCCGGAATGGTCGTCCGCACACAAGCAGGCGATTGTCCAGTAGGTAGTTTAATGTGAGTAACGTTTAAATATTTTTAGATTTTAAAACGATATAAGCGAGAAACTACAACTCTTACTTTCGTTTATTTTAGGTTTTTCTTTTCGACGCGAGGTGGCACATCGTCACGTGAAAGCTGTCCAGACGTGTTCCGATTCTCGGACAGTATGTTTTCGGTGCTGTCTTCTAAGCAATTTGCGTAGACTCTCTACGTGCTGTCTAAGAATTGGAACACAGCCTGTGTCGGTATGTTTGCGGTGTATATTTGCACGTTGTTACATCAAATTATGAACTGACTCGTATCAGCATAGATATCAAGCCATGGGAACAGAGTGTCAGCCACTCGCTTGCTCACATGCACGACTTAATAAGTTCGATTTCCAAAAGTTACACTCAAGTCTTATAGCTATTTTCTAGACGTCACATTTGCGTTTTGCTAGCCATAGTGTATACCTTGCCCATTTTTATTTCATTTTAAACTTGTTAGAGCACGAGAATATTGACCGGTCCCACACATGAAGTACGATACACGCTGACTAGGCAAGAAAAAGCTTCTTTGTTCCATATTTCTACACGTACAGCGCATTACGCTGAGGTGTCTCGATTAGCATCCGACTATTCACGAAGGGAAGACATGCGCATGCTTGATCTGACACGCCACAAAAGCTCAAAAGACAATCTTAGTTGCTAGGATAGCTCAGTATTTTATATGCAAATGACAAGAAAAATGTCCAGTGAATACGCCAAAACTAAATTTCAAGGTAGCCAAGGCAGAAACCTGAAATTTCCGTCTCGCCATGGGGTCTAAAAGTAGCCACTTGGCTTCAATGTAGCCGCCAACGGCACCCCTGCCCATGCGTGCTTTGTTTATTGATTGTGCGTGGTTCATATGCAGAAGGAGTGCATTTCTTGCTGTGTGTTTTCTCGTGGTAATTTGCGTAGCACTCTTTGTTGCCCGATTATTTCCATGAACCGCCGGTGTTTAACCACTCATCACTTTTGTAGCCTTTCTGTAATTTGTAGCCATCATGTCAAACTAAGCATATTGCACTTTCTTGTATCACGGTGCTTAGTTTCTCCTAGACTTTTTTGTTTATGCAACACCTGCAAACAATAGACCCCGTATCAACACCAAAAACACGGGTTGTATCATTTTTCTTTCTGTTAATTAGGAAATAATGAAAGTATTTGGGGAAAAACTTGAAAAAGTGTGTAAACTGTAAAAACGTTTCTTAATGTTTTAGCTGTTGTAAAAAGAGTTATTTTGCCCAGGGTCGGAAGCACAGTCAGAGGGGGTTTATTTTGTCATGAAATCAAATACGCAATTTGTGTATACAAAATGAGGTCCCATAGTGAGATACTCAATCGCAGAGATAAATAGCCTGATAGATGTAATATCATTACAGTGCTCTGTTACTTGATAATGTTACTATACACGATGACGTTCAGCGTCCAATAGCTTAGCATAATCTATGTTGAAATACCCAGTGACGGCAGTACAGTGTCAGTCCGCTTGTCCTCCTTTTCAAGCATTATATTATCACGTTTTGCCTCTGAGTCTTCTTAAGGTATATTTCAGCGAATTTAGCTTGGTAATGAGCACATGCCAATAGTTTTGTATGAAATTTCTTCGAAATAGCTCCATTTGCATGGCTATGCTTTTCTTTGGCTATGGCTTGAAGTGTAATTTAGGAAGTGCATTTTTCTATAAAACTGTTGGCAACGGTATGCGCTGTTGTAGTCATCGCTCTGCTTTATGAAGTCTGTTTTCCATTATAATTATTAACGACCCATGTCTTGTTGTCGTCGCAAGGTACCTTTATCTTGTTGAGTGCCACTGTCCCCAAAGGCCATTCGTCATGGCTTCACTCATACCAGTTTTACAGCAAACCCCGAAGACATTTGTTAACGCGGATGTCACAACTGTGCACAGACACGACCCATAACAATCAATAAAACTCATGAGTTTCCAGTGGAATTCTTAAGAGAGAGAGAGAGAGAGATGCGACGAAAAGCAACGAACAATGGGGAAACCAGACGAGTACTTGTTGCTACACTGCACTGGCTAACAGGGAATGGGGCTCAGATAAAAAAAAAAAAAACACCAAAATATAGGCTGGCCCCAGCCCACCACCGAAACGCCAAAGCAGAATAAATGTTTCGCAAATACATGTTATTGAATCAGTGTATAGGATGTTTATCAGTAGGAAGAGAGAAATGTACACAAAAGATGATTGGATTACGTTGGATTACGCCAGTAGGATGCGCAGACTGACATTTGGGGCATGATGCTCGTACTTATGTATAGTCCGTGACAACCTAAAAATAAATATAGGCTTCACCCACCAGGCAACAATGCCCTTATTTTCCATGCCTCCACGCTACAACAGAAGTAGTTCCCAAACAATGACAAAAATTTTCTCGCATAAAACCAGTATCTTGAAATTCTTCAACGATATTGAGATAAAGAAACCAAAGCTCGATAAGAAAACTCGTGAAGGCACGGAGTTCAGCTTCAGCTTATAAATATACCTGTTGTTTAAATTTCACCCCTACCACGCTCTTCTTGGAGTCCATGAAGAAGTAATGTTCATTTCTCGAAGGTAACGTTTCTGCGCGTTACCTGTAGTAGTACTAAAAACAAGAATGCCACAGTAAATGTGACATTTAAAAGAATCCTTTTTTTGCGCTTTCCAAAACGATGCAGGGGCATAAATCAAATTTTATAAGGTCGCTTGCAGTTTTCGTTTTGTTTTAGGAAACTTTCTCTACCAGGTTTCCTCACTATCTGCTCTACCTATGGCAACTATGACTCAAAGCAAAAAATCTAGAAGTGATGTGAGATCGACTTCATAAAATTTGGTTCTTGT